ACACCAGAATAAGTAGCTTATGTCATGCAAATCTCATTTATTATCCTATTAGTGTTCCTCCTATATAATTAAATCAGAACTTTCGGAGTTTAGTTCCTACATTAAAGCTCACAAACTTTACTCTTTACGTTTTTGTATAAATTGTGCAGTGCAAAAATACGGGCAGCGTAGATGCACCTCTACTTCAAAAGGCAAGACATAAATATATATAACCCTCCAATTAAAAATTAAAAAAACATAACCGGCCGTTCGTTAGATTCATTAAGGCCATTTTAGACTCTTGCAGTCTCCAGATAACGCTGCACCATCAGACCTAGGTAACCATATCATAATGTCATTAAAATAACGAGATACCAAGTTTCGAATCGATTAGATCTGTGGAAGTTCAGTCAACAATTTCTTTTTTTCTACTTATTATTTCTTTCCTTCGAGAATCGAAGTTACAACCTTCATAGTAAAAGACATTGCCAGTGAGACACAGCCACTGCTCTACAAGTCGTTAAAATAACATAAACATTACACCGACCTTCAAGGATTTGATTACGCTCTGTTATGACACCCCACAAAACCTTAGTATATTATTATTACAGGTATCAAGTATCTGTGTGACACTGACACATTTACCTCAAGTTTTTATGTAAGCTCGTATTTTACTTTAGGTTTGCTTGAGATTTTAAGATGATAGAGTACCGTGTTACCATTAGGTGAATTTCAGGACTAGATAAAGTGGGTCATTTCTAATGCCTGTAAACTCTATTATTAAAAGATGCGTAGAGTAAGGCACAAGTAGGGAGAAATCGTTTTTTAAACTGCATTATACACATACATACATATATTAACCTATCTACTATCTGTACATATAAATAAAATTGAAGTGTCTGTTTGTAATGTCAAAATAACAGCTTTTACTAAATGCATATGGAATTATATACCGTATTTATAATAAAAACACAACTATTTAAATTTTTGTCTGTCTGTCTGTTGCGGCTAATCTCCGAAACGGCTGGACCGATTTTGACGAGACTTTCACTGGCAGATAGTTGATGTTATAAGGAGTAAGTTAAAAGAGTACTTTTATTTCTGTAAAAGAAATAGGGTTTTGCTGAAAAAAATTTAATGTACCTAGTAATGTCGCTAGTATCTAAATAAAATGTGATGTGATAAAGTGTCCATGGAGGTTTTAGACTTAGTAACATAAATGCACGAAATGTGCAAGATATGTAGGATTATTAAGGAAAATAAACAAGGACATACTTTAATCAATATATATGTAGGTTATAATAATATTAATTTTTAACAGCTCTAAATTATGTGTATAAAGTCTACAAATATGCAAAATCGCAGGTTGTAATCCATATGTAAATAAAATGACGTATAGAATGCTCCAGCGCGTATTTTCACACCGCTTGAGTGACTCCTGGTGTACTATTACGAGCTATACTATCTAAAAGGCATTGACATATAAATAATTGCTAGTGACAAAAACTACCTTTTTTTTTTTACCTGCTACAATGTAGTAACTATTGTTCATTCATAAACTAAATATCGCTATATTGTAATAGTAATAGGCTAAAATACTCCCAATTAATATTTAATTGTAATACAAGTTTTAAATAAAACTATCTTTTCGGATTATTTCGCGGATTTTTGGTTCCTGACGTTTCGAATGCTTTTCAGCGTTCATGGTCACGAGAGAGACTAAGGTAAGTAGTAAGGTTGTAATACAAGTATTAAAGCTTAACACCTCCAGTTAAATTTCTAAGAAATTAATAAAAATTCTAAGAAATCTATTGTTAACTGACACGCCGGCGTGTTCGCGGTCGTGGAGGGATTAATACATATTAATCGGCCCTTTTTAATGTGATCTCTTCCAAAACCAAGTACGGGTTCGAGATCCGGGTCTCGCACCCTTGATAGTTTGTTATTGCGAATAATTTTACAGATGTCTCTTGTCTTTTGTTTATATGTATATGTAAATGGGTATAAACAAAATAACTCAGTACCTATTCCTCTATCTGTTTGTAAACACATTTTATTTTTTTTTGTTCAGTGGCTTTTGACAAGCTTAATTGTTATCAATAAAAAAAAATAACGATAGTGGTGAAATTCCGCCCACTGAGCAAACACTAATTTAAGCAATGTGCTTGTTTATGTAACTTTTCATATTAAATAATTTATTTTAAACACGTGGGTGACATTAAAAATTGTTCCGCATTTATTGCTAATAAAGAATAAAACGTGTTTATTACTTTGAGCTATTGAATAAAAAAATATAGATATAAGTCAAATAAGTATGATTTATTGCAAATATTATTATTAAAGATCTAATTAAGCAAACGAAACCAGTAATAATATTATAATATAGAGCTAGTATGCATGTGTATATTATGTGCATATATTTTTGAACTAGTGACTCACCCTCGCTTCGCTCGGCTTGATTCTTTGAATTAACATAACTTTTTTATTTATGAACCGGTTGAAATACAACAAATACTAATTATTAAGTGAAGCTTACCACAATACGTTAGAGAAAACCGCACCCAAATCGGTAAAGCAAATAGAGACAAACACACACAGACAGACAGACAGACAAACAGAAAAAAATCTAAAAATCATTGTCGTGGATTCTATTGCTATAATAAAGACACAATAAAAGTTTTTCTTAAATACCTTCCATGTACAGACAGCGATCAGTGACACGTTTATTATATATGTATGTCTGTATGTATAGAAGATTCGTATTGTGACGTAGTACCTACTTCTCTAGTAAAATAATTCTAAGCTAAGTTAAAGCTTATAGAAATAAAATAAAACATTCATTCTATGGCGTTGAAGAGAAATTACTTACACCTTATCTATGAGGTTACAAATGCGTTTGGTTTTCCACAAAACTGAAAAGTATTAACCGAGTCCATATATTTTCATCAGGGAAATGTGTTGCATGCAAGAAAGTATTACACTTTCCATTACGTACCTACGACGATATTCTTCTGGCACAAGATTATCATACCATATAACAATACGAAATATTTCTCATGATATTTACAATTTACATATGTCTGTCTATTCTAATACTATAAAGCGTATAAGTTAGATTTTAGTTATTTTCTTTTACATTTTATAGTCTATATTTTAACGTTTAGTATAGATTTCTCAGAGATGAGAGTAAAAATCCTATATGTTGACCCGGATTACCAGCTATTATCATACCAAATTTCATCAAAATCTGTCCAGTGGCTTTTTTCGTGGTGCGTTCCCAGACAGACAGAAATTCTAAAAACTATAGATTAGGTCTCTGTATCGATAATAATGAATATTTCAAAAAGATTTTTCAGAAAATATTTAATGTACCTACAGATTCGACTCAGAATTTTATTATATGTATGGATTTATTGAGGAAAGTTTACAGGCTATCTATCATAATACTGGTACTTAGGAGTATTCATACGTAAATAAACTAATTAAAGCCACTCAGTGTTAAGGCTTGCGCTTGAAGAAAACAAATATCGAGTTCCTGAATAAACATTTTTATGAATACTAATTAGGTACAACTATACGACGTTGCGTGTCTATTAGACCTTTAGCACAGTAAATACTAGGAATGCGTCTTATATACTTTTTTACATTAAAATACCGAATCTTTGTCTTGTGGTATGGAAATATAGGAAAAAAACGCCAAATGGCGGAAAATTTTCGATTCATTAAGTAAATAAGTGACGACAAACAATTTCAGTGTTACATAACGATTTAAAACAACTTTTAGATAAAAAAACAATTTAAAAATACACATCTTAACCATTCGCCCTCAATAACATTTATAAGCCACCCTTACAAGGATCTTGCAAATCCACTAAAATCCGGGTAAAATGTATTTCCCTGATGTCCGGATATTTCTTATCTGGATATTAATTTATCGAGTTACGAAGATATGGCGTCACTGGTAAATCATATTAATGAGCGCGTCCTTATTCGAAAAGAGACATGTAGGTAGTTTTAGCCCGCGGTTCCTCTCGCGTACGTCGTTTATCTATACTATAATATTATAAAGAGGTAAAGTTTGTGAGTTTGTGACGTTGTAGGGGGTAATCTCTGAATCTACTGAACCGATTTAGATGAAATTTGGTAAGAAGATAGTTTGAGACCCTGGGAAGGACATAGGATACATTTTATCCCGGGAATCATCCCTTAAAGGGGTGAAAATGGGAATGGAAGTTTGTATGGGGAATCAAACTAGGGACAAACCCGAGCAGAGCGAGGGTGAGTCGCTAGTAAAGTATAAAAGTCTATGTGTTAAACTTACTCACGATTATTAATATTGCGTAAAATATAATAAAAAAATGTTTAAAAATATAGGTGGATTTTGTGCTGATGTCAAGATATTTTATACAGACTATTTGGGACATCTCAAAAAATAAACTCAAAATGAGTTTAACTGAAGTATTTAAAATTATTACTTTCGGACAGAAGGACATTTTAATGACAACCAAACTGCCTTCTATTTGCTTAAGCTAGTAGTCCCGTATTTATAATTCATTAGTAAAAATAATACACTCTGACACAAGCTTTGCATGTACCGTAATATAAATAATTATTACATTAGCGTTTAAATTTGTTTTAGTTAAAAAATATTCCATAATTTCGTCGTCGATATAAATAAAATGGATTTTCATAAAAGATCCCTTACGATATTATGAAAAATAAAGTTATTTTCTCGATAGCTAAACTTTCAAAGCGTGTAACTGAAAATATCCTATATTTTCTTTAAATTAATTTCCGTTGAAAATATTTCGAAAACCAATAAGACTTTTTTCAAGAAAAATGACTACCATATACTAAAAAATAGACAGATGTGACATTGGTAATTAATAATTATAGATTTTTGCATTTAAGCTACGAAACTCTAGTATTATTATTATTAATAAATATACATAGAACTGTGCTAAATGAGAATATAGCTACAGATTAAAAGTTAACATTAACAATATTTTTTGTATATTTACCTGTGGCATGTATCCAATTCTAGGTCCAGGAACACCGCTACCAGGTCCACCAGGTCTACCTCCAAGCACCCAAATCTCCCCAGAATTAAGTCTACGGCGACCAACTATGCACGAGAGTAATGTAGTTTTACCACAACCAGATGCGCCTAGCAGACCGTATCTGTAAAGAAATATATAAAATCAATTCAATTCAATTATTTGCTAATGGCTTCAAAGCGTGCCAATTGGACACAGATTACTCCGTCACTCACGTAGAATGGAGGAGAAGATTGGTCAGTAATAAGATCATTATATATACATATAATCATTTTCACAGTCACGTAATGAAGGAGTGTAATAAGTGTAGTAAAATCTAACCAAGGTCTTGGGACCTTAACACACAGCACCATCTGGTTCCATGGTAAGCTACGAGGCTTGTGTTATGGATACCATATAGTTGATACACTACACATATATAACTTTAAATACATATTATAAATAAAATAAAAAAATAAATGAACATTTAACAACCCATCAACATAATTTTTTGTGTAAGCGTGACTGATTATAACCACATTTCGAGATTTCAAAATGAACGCTAAATACAACGCTAAATGTCCCGTTTCAAATCATAAAATAACGTCAGTGACCATGAAAGCTTATAGATATTGTTTGCTCAGATATTATTTTATGCCTAGCGTATATAAGCGTCGTAGGTACGTTTTAATTTTTTTGAGCGGAACCCCAATTCTATTTCTAAAATAAAAGTAGCCTATGTTATTCCTTATAACATCAAGATATTATCTCGAACAAACAAACAGACATACAGACAGACAAATTTAAAAAAAAATCTGTTCTTCTTATAAGTACCGTATATAATTTCATATCCATTTAGTAAAACGCTGTTATTTTGACATTACAAACAGACACTTCAATTTTATTTATCTGTATAGATTATATTATATTAAGCCTACGCCGTATTTTCATCTGCTGGCGTTTATCTTCTTTAAAAGGGCTATCGTTTCGCTTATTTATTGACTTACATAGGTATATTATTGATAGGATTATATTTTTTTATTTTATTTTTTGATACAAACAATTATATAGACGAGATGTTTACAGCAAATAAAAATTGATTATCGTCAAATAAACCGAGTTTTAAAATAAATGGCTGACAAACCATTTATTTTAAGAGCTCAACATTGACAACGAAGAATAGCGAGCAGCTTAATATGTTAAAACGGAAAAGCAGAGTTTAAAAAAAAATAACTTTGCCTTTTAAAATATTTAAACATCCATTCGACAATCTATCATCGTGGTCTGATCACGCGATTCTATGTCGGAAATCGCGGATTTGAGTCCCGTTTGTAACCAATTTGTTTCATTAATAACTAGGTAGGTCCTGCACCTGGGTGGTATTAAATCCAACAGAATTTATTAATTTATTAGATTCACCATTGGCAATTACGATTTATTATTATATACGAGTCCAATGGTTCTTATAGCGAAATGCATTACCTTTTAAGGTGAATATCTATATCTATACTAATATTATAAAGAGGTAAAGTTTGTGATCTTGTGAGTTTGTGAGTTTGTGAGTTTGTGAGTTTGTGACGTTGTAGGGGGTAATCTCTGGATCTACTGAACCGATTTTCAAAATTCTTTTACCAATAGAAAGCCACGTTCTTTCTGAGTGTCATAGGCTATATATTAACCCGAAAAATGAAAAGGCTTTTTGGTGGTCGTCGGATTTGCAAAGTAAGTCGGAGAAAAAACGGTCGAACGAAAACGTTTCTTACGAACGCTGCCTTAACGATGAGAGATATATGATTATGTTCTAGAGAAAAGTTGTAGAGCTTAATAATGCCTACAAAAAAGTCAGCGACAGCATATGTCTACCTTTTATATGTAAGTCACAAAAAGTAGTTTTTTATATTAAAAAGATAATTTAAATCGGTAGGTCATGTTTATTGGTCATATTATCAACAATTATGAATTCTTATCAAAATAAGTAAATTTATCGTCTAAAATGTTTAAAACAAAAGACTTTTCCCTTTTACTGCATATAATTTGGACAAATGGTTATAGAGATAATACAACATATTCGTAGGTATGGACGAACCCGAGCGAGCTGTTAGTCTGTTTTTCTCTTTGTACGGGCTAATCTCCAAATCTATTGGACCTATTTAAATGAAACTTTGTATGGTGATACCTTATATCCCCAGGCAACATCTTAGATACTTTTCATCCCAGAAAATTAAAGAGTTCCCGTGGGATAGTTAAAAAACTATAACAACTTATACAGCTTAGTTCACAAAAACTGCTGATTGGATTTTAATGAAACTTTACAATAATATAGTTCAAATATGACAAAAACAAATCAGCTACTTTTCATTCCGGAAAATTAAATAATTTCCGTGGGATAGTCAAAAAAGTATAGTAACTTATACAGCTTAGTACACAAAAACTACAGATTGGATTTTGATGAAACTTTACAATAATATAGTTCACACATCAGAATAACAAATAGGTAACTTTTTATCCCGGAAAAATGTATTTTTCCCGTGGGATAGATGTTTTTATTTATCTATAACGTATTATGTACACAACATAGACCCCAAAACAACAGTTATTAAAAATAATGTCTGTTTGTCTCTTTGCCTGTATGTCTGTTTGTCTGTTATTGTGTGTGCGTTTCACGCGAAAAATAATGTACCAATTTTCCTTCACCGTTAAGATAAATGGTAATTGTGTTAGAAATGATTCGCACATGAGGTGCGAGACCCGGGATTTGAACTACTTGCTTCACTCAGTTTCCCAAGCGAGCGCGTTACCACTGGGATACCACTGCCTAGATACCTTTTACTTCAAGAAAATCTTTCTTTCCCAAGGGAAAATACAATAACTGGTTTTATCGAGTCCTCTCTAGAAACCTTCCGCTGGCTAAGCCTTAAGACATACATACATCAAAACAATATACTTAAAATTGTAGGTCTTGAAAAGTCCTACAGAAAAGTTCTGAATAGTATATGTCTATCTCCTAAGTTACACTCGCAATATTTATTCTTATCGATGTGCGCGTTTCACGCAAAAAGTACTCAATCGATTTTAAATTAGTTTTGTATAGTGATAAAACTCAGTACTCGGGTCAACATTTAGGATACCTTTTACGACAGGCTAATTATTCATTCCCACGGGAAAACATAATAAATGGTTCTATCGAACCGTCCTTAGAAATTTATGTGGCTAACGTTGGTTCAACCTTAAGAGATAGATCAAAACGTTGTGCAAGAAAATTGTAAGTCTTGAAAAGGTTTATAGAAAAGTTCTACATAGTATATGTCTATCTCCTAAGGTACACTCGCTATAACTATTTTCATTATTATATATTACTGTTTTATTATACGTTATTTATTCTATCTGAATATACATATATGAATAATAAAACTGTAGTGGTCGAATGTCTGTACATAGATGATAGAAAAAAATGCTAAAAACCGAGTCAGTTCTCTTCTTACATCCCGTAAGGAGAGAAATAGAACAAATCCAGATTGTTTTCAATTTTTTTGTTTTTCTGTCTGTTTGTCTAAACAGACAAACAGACAGAGAAACAAAAAAATTACGTACGTACGTACAAACGTACGGGCTAATCTCCGAAACTATTGAACCGATTCAAATGAAATTTGATACTTTTCATTCCGGAAAATTAAAGGGTTCCTGTGGGATAGTTAAAAACTATAGTAACATATACAGCTCAGTACACAACAACTTATGCACCTAATTTAGTAAAATTTAGCATGCTGATACCTTATATTACAGGTCTAACAACAGGTTACTTTTTATCCTGGAAAAATAAACGGTTCCCGTGGGATAGATCTGTTTGTGCTTTTCTAGAGGTGAACCCGAGCGAAGCGAGGGTGAGCCGCTAGTTAATATTATAAAGAGACAGAGTTTGTTTGTTTGAACGTGCTTATCTCAAGAACTACTAATACGATTTACAAAATTCTTTTCGTATTAGATAGCCCGTTTATTGAGAAAAGCTATAAGCTATATATCATCATGCTACTACCTAAGGGAGCGGAGTAGTAATCATAAATGACAACACATCGGGCAGACTTCCATACATTATTGTAAAGGGAAGGGAAAAAAGAGTTTGTTTTTTTTTTTACTTTGAACGCGGGCGAAGCTGCAGGTTCTGCTAGTATAATAATAATCCATACTAATATTATAAATGTGAAAGTGTGTTTGTTTGTATGTTCTTCTTTCACGTGGAAACGGAATGACGGATTGGCGTAATTTTTTGTGTGGAGATAGTTGGAGGGCTGGAGAGTGATGTAGTACTTACTACTTTTTACCGCGGAAGATTATCTTATTCCCACGAGAAAACACGTTATAATACAACCCAAAAAAATATTTATGATCAGAATTACTTGAAACTTGGTAATTAATGCTTTTCAATAAAATTACATAAATAAGTGTTTTAGAGTTTTTTGAAATTCATCCCATAAGGGGGTAAAATAGGGGATGAAAGTTTGTATGAAACCTAACTTTAAAGAGTTGTAGTTTTAGCGCGAGCGAAGCCGCGGGTTCTGCTAGTTTAATATAAGTATAAAACATTTGGAGAACAGTCCATTAATATGTATGAGAGGACTAGCGCAATAGAACAATAGTATAGAGCTTGTAATCATTTCATAATACATGTAATATATTTTTATTTATGACCTTCTATTAGGTGATCTTGCCAAATACAAACTCCATTGAACTTAATAATGCAATGTATCACAGTATATATGCCTTGATATTAACTGATTCTAAACATTTATATGAATTACTTTCTTAGATTTACGCGAACACTTGACATTTTAAATAAAACTATCTGTTCGGATTTTTTCGCGGATTTAGTTTGATTTTTGGTTCCCGACTTTTCGAATGCTTTACAGTAATCATCTCTCTCCCGAAAAGATAGTTTTATTTAAAATATTTACATGAAATTTGGACTTCTCAAAAAAAATTAAATTAAGATACTTGGCTTTAAATCATTGATCAATTACATTTAAATTGTTTAATTGAATATCATGTTTTAACTTGAATTTAAAAAACTCGTGGCTCGCAGATAAATCTAATACATACATATGTATGTATGTGTTAATTTTAATAATTAACATTCCTACGTCTTGGTTAAATCTTCTCACAATTATTTACAATGTAAATAGTTTATATACATGTTCATATATACCTAAATTCGAACTACTCAGTCTTTACACAGATCGAGTCTTTATTAAGTTTTATAACCACAATAAATTGATACTAATATTACAAATGTTAAAGTAACTCTGTCTGTCTGTCTGTTACCTTTTTTACGCTTAACCCGCTGAACCAATTTAGATGAAATTTCGTATGAAGATAGTTTAAGACCCTGAAAGGGATATAGAATATTTTTAAACCCGGGAATCATCCCTTAAGGGGGTGAAAAGCGAGGTGGAAATTTGTATCGAAAATCAATTATGTCTCAAGGGATATAAAACTCATCATACCTACACATATATGTATATACATTATATATAATAAATAGTCTATATATTCCTTACTAACCGTTAAAACGTATCTAGGGAGGTTGAGTCGCTTTTATTCTATATCCTTCATATATGTATGTAAAAATGTCTGACTGTATGTAGTACCTTAACCTACTAAATAAACAGACACATCCGCTAACCTACAATCAACGAAATAATCGATTGAAGTTATTAAAAGAATCCAAAGTAAGCAAGGGTAATGTGGTAATCCTCACTTAAAAGAATATTATAAATGTGTATGTGTTTGTTTATCCTTCTTTTACTTTTATGCAGAAACTAATCAACGAATCGACTTTATATTGGCATAAAGATTATTATTGACTAGGGAGGAAAAAAAACAAATCTATCCCACGGGAACCGTACATTTTTCCGGGATAAAAAGTAGTCTGTGTTATTCTGGTGTATGAGCTATATTATTGTAAAGTTTCTTCAAAATCCATTCAGTAGTTTTTGCGTGAAAGAATAACAAACATACATTCATACATACATTCTTACAAACTTTCGCTTATAATAAATATTAGAAGTATAAGTAGGATTTAAGAGTATCATGAGATTAAAATTTAATCAGTTTCATTACATGTTTTCATTTGGTTATTATTCTAATGCAAGTCACTAGTAAGTAATATTTTACGTCTCAGTGAAGCAAGGACGAGTCTCTACTTGATTTTAATGTTTTAATCATCATACCCTATGAATATAATTAGTCTGTGTGCAAATTTTTTTATATATTTTATTATTCAACATACGAGTGGAATTTTATTTAACAACGTTGAATATATAAAATGTAATTTACTTGAGATTAATAAATATCTACTGGGTTTTTCACACCTCCCATACAACACTTCAGATGATCACACTATGCTTTTCATGGGAGAGTTTTAAATGTAGCCCCATAGTACGTAGGTATTTCCTTCGAATTCAAATCCATTGTTAATTAAGCAACACCAATTTTGGACAGCGTGATTTTCGAAAAATATGCCATGTTTAGATGTTAAATATTTAAAAATATATCCTATGTCCTTCCCAGGGTCTCAAACTATCTTCGTACTAAATTTCATCTAAATCGATCCAGCGATTTTTTTGTTTACCCATTACAAACAAAAATACAATTATATTCTTTTTATAATATTAGTATAGGTTTATATACATGATAAAAGAAGGCTTACATTTCTTTATTCGCGCATGTTTTTATTTAGACACGACGCAAACGTGTCGAGAGATTTTACAAAACATAAATCCTGATGTAGGTAACGCTTCCTCTGAATATACGTAATTGGATAAACTAAAACTACTTATTTATCTACATATATCACATTAAAAACTTGCTAAAGAGGACGTTGTGAAAATCTGTTACTCCCAAACAAGATATAATTTGTACAATCACTAAGTACTATATTTAACTACTACAATTTATTTAGAATTATAAATTAAAAATTTAAAAGACCCCTACGCAAATTAATTGTCATTTAACGATTACACTGGAACGCGTGAAGCACTTAATCGAGTAATCATACGCCAAAATGCCTTACATCATTTTGGAAAAGTGCTAGATACTCTTACATTTCTGGACCGATATTAACCAAACGTAGCTAAGAATCACCGCAAAGAAACTGGCTTTCAAATGAAAAAAACCGCATCGAAATCGGTGCATCCGTTTGAGACCTACGATGCCACAGCAGACATACACACACATACAGACATAGACGTCAAACTTATAACAACCCCTTTTTTTGCGTCGGGGGTAAAAAAAGATAAAATACAATTAAACTTAAACATAAATTTATATCTACAGGACGCACAAACGAACGATACGTAGAAGAAAATCACCTTAAATACTGAAGTTATTAAGTTTCATTATACGGAAATATTCTTTTGTTTTAAAAAATATGAATGAAACTGCATTTAAGTTGGTCATGTAATTTGCAAGAAAGAATTTTTCAATTTGTGACTTTTATGACGATCTCAAGATAAAATTTTTTTTCATTATTTTCATCTTTACTAAGTTTAGGCCACTGATTTCTAGAAACATGGCAAAAAAACCATATATCAAAATATATTATAAGCTATAGATTTTCCCGCGTACATCCATACTTATATACTAATCCATACTAATATCATAAATGTGAAAGTGTGTTTGTTTGTGTGTCCTTATTTTACGTCGAAACGGAGTGACGGATTGGCGTAAATTTTTGTGTGGAGATAGTTGGAGGGCCGGAGAGTGACATAGGCTACTTTTTACAGCGGGAGATTATCTAATTCCCACGGGAATACACGTTATAATGCACTTCAAAAAATATGTATGATCAGAATTACTTGAAACTTGTTATATTTACTCTTCAATAAAATTAAATAAATACGTATTTTATAGCATTTTTCGAAATACGTCCTATAAGAGGGTAAAGTAAGGGATAAAAGTTTGTATGGAACTACCTTTTTATATATATTTTTTGTTGTTTTAGCGCGAGCGAAGCCGCGGGTTCTGCTAGTAAATAATAAATCAGAACCTACCTAAATTATAGAAATAAAACGCCTGCTCTGTATTGACATTTGTCACGATATAAGACGATTAAAATGAAAACAATTTAAAAATGTAATAAAGATAATGTTTCATTCAGATATATTATTTTTATCAATAAGAATTAAAATTAAAAATGTAAATTTTTAACTTTATTTTATAGTTATATTGTAAGTATTTTGAAACAGAATTTGGAAAACAAAGTAAGTTTTCGGAAAATATTTTTACCCCTTACCAAACTGATAATAAATATTAACAACTAGCGAGTTATGTGATACGTCCCTGGGTACCTAACGATAGCCGATAAAGTAATTCAACGGCCATTTTTTCCCGACTTCAATTTAAGTTATTATAATTTCTGACAGTAAACACATTTTTTGCAATAAGTTTATATACGAGTATAGCACTAGGCTGTAATATACCTTCCCGTTAGTAAAAATCAATATACTATTAACGGCTCACACTCGCTTCGCACGGGTTCGTTTCTAGGAAAACACAAACAAACAAACCTATTCCACGGGAACCGTACATGTTTCCGGGATAAAAATTTGCCTATGTGCTATTCCTGACTATAATCTATCTCTGTGCCAAATTTTATCTAGATCCGTTCAGCCGTGACGTGGCGTGAAAGAGTAACAAACATCCATACTAACAATCTTTCACATTTATAATATTAATACGGATAGAAGTCATGCCTGCGTTTATTAATGCATAGAATGTTAGCTGCATTCCCCCGCTGAATGCCAATGTCAATTCTTTAGGCAAAAAACGTGACACATGCCTACGTATGGGATCCCTAGCTTAAAAGTCCCCTAAACTAGCCCCTAAATTAAATTTCGTTTTATGATCGTCTTTAAGCCAGTACTTCGAGCACTTAAATTTAGGGGGCCTTTTAATATTTAGGTGAGCTCTAACTGTCGGTGAAACAGAAACTGTCGGTGAAACAGAAACTGTCCTCTAACAGCCCTCTAACCATGCTTAGGGGATCCCTTAAACTTAGGTGACGTTGGTAAAATCGGGCAACAACCTTGTTATCACCGGAAGTGATAAGAGGTGTTATTACTCTAAGTACCACTTGCTTCGCTCATACTTCACAACTTCATTACCAAATTTTAACTTTACTCCATATTAATAAAATGTTGAAAAATCTTGAATGATAATGGAAACTGTATCAAATTAGACGTTTTGAAGCCATTAACAAAAAAATTGAATTGAATCAAAATTCATTGCGCACTTTTGAGAATAAAAGTCACAAACAGATATGTATGTAGGCGCGATCGATACATCGATATTGTTTTATAAAAATTCAAAATTTTACTTACATGGCACCTTTAGGTACAGTCATGTTCAGTCCATCTAAAATTACATTCGGATTCTTTTTAGGTCCATATTTCTTATGAGCTCTTCGCACACAAACTGCTTGTTGTCTTCTAGAAGCTACTGTGGACTTCTGTGGCTTTAGCATACGGGTTCTTCTAGCAGTTATCTCTTCTTCTATAGTGCTGATTGTGACGGTCGGATCCCGCACATCTTCCATGGATATCGTGGCGCCCTCATTGTCGTAGGCCGGCATTTTGCTGTAAAAAGAGGAGAGTTTTTAACTGTTACAGCACTACTTGAGAAATACGTAAATTAGTATAATCGATTCATAGCTGGCATATTACAGTGTGCGCAAGCGGTAATACAATATCGCATTTCTCACTGTTCTCACTGTCACCTGCCTAATAACAGCCGACAACTGACAAGTAGGTACCCCATATATGTAAGGTTTTTCCAGTGAGATAAAAAATAAGGGTTATCCTGCCATTTTTCAACAGACCGACAAACCGAACTGTAAATAAAAATTGACATTTTGACTTTATTATACATAAACAAAAATAATCAATAAACAACTTTGACGTCACAATATTATAAACTAGTAGTATAACAAGCTCGTCTTGCCTTTTTTAAGAACTGTGTTTTTCCATTCAATCTGCAATCAATTAAGAAAACCAGCTTAATACTCGTATAAATCAGTATCGTACGGACAGATCTATTAACTTTTAACTGTACTTAACTTTTAACTTTAACAAATTAACAATTAAGACTTGGACAAGAATTCTACAAACTTTATTGATAATTAGATTTAAAAAAAACGGTTTCACGCTTTAGCTGTTAGTATAGAATAGATAGACTATATACATATATTAATAGATATGAAGAGTTGTTGTGGATTGTAATAGAACGTGTTTTCCCGTGGGAACTCCGTCACTCTGTGTCGACGTGAAAGAAAGACAATCAAATAAACGGACACACTTTCAAATTTATAATATTAGTATGGATTTAAATTATTTTTAACTTTCTACTAGAGATATATTTTATAGAAAGTCAATTTACCCCAGACAGATATGGGTTATATTTCTTTTATTGAATAAAAGAATAAAAGACGAATTCATAAGGAGGCCATACATTGTTCACACAAAGCCTTACTTTTGTTATTTAAGGAACATTTCATTACAAGAATATCCAGACGCAATAAATTAATATTTTGTTTTCTTTTTTCTATTGTGCCTTTATATTAGAAAGAGGCAAATTAGAATATTAATATTAGTAATTGACATTTTTTATTCTCCTTTAACCTTACATATTTGTTTTAAATACATATTGTATTCAGCCCTTTTTAAGGACCCACAGCTGGGCACGGGCCTCCCTACATTACGAGGGGAATCAGGCCAGAGTCCACCACGCTGGCCAAGTGTAACCCACACTTCACATGTTTTTTGAAAACTTGCTAGGTTCTCTCAAACATGTATTTGATGAGATGTTTTCCTTCACCGTTAAGACAAGTGGCAATCATGTTGGAAATGATTCGCAAATGAAAACATCAGAGGTGCGAGACCCGGGATTTGAACTCGCTTCACTCGGTTTCCCAAGCGAGCGCGTTACCATTGGGCTACCACTGATGAACTTTAAATTGGTATATATATATATATATATATATATATATATATATATATATATATATATATATATATATATATATATATATATATATTTGTCATATTATTCAGCTTTTTTTAAATGTAGAAATACATTACAATATTAAATTAATATGAATTAAGTTAACAGAAATGCTGTGTTGTAGCTTTTTAAATGAATCAGTATCAGGGTCGAAGCAATAATGAGCTAGTTTATTTAAATTTTTATGAACAAAACATGCTCATGACCTCGAATGTGAAGATTACACATTATCAAAAATTCAAATCTTTATATAAATATTGTTATGAAAGGTATGTAATAGCGTAATAGCAGATTTGTTTGAAAAAAATTGCCAAAACGTTGCCTATACCTATAGGTATAATATTATACTAGCAGCTCACCCTTGCTTGGGTTCGCTTGGGTTCGCCTCTAGGTACATTTTAACGGTGAGTATGGAACAGATAGACTATATATTATATAAGCGTTTAAACATATTATAAACATCACTTTTACAATAATGTATGAAGTCTGCCCGATTTGTTGACATGATTACTGCTCCGCTCTCTCTGTAGTAGCATGATGATATATAGCTTATAGCCTTCCTCAATAAACTTAACGGGCTATCATTAGATAGCCCGTAATGATTTTTAAATTGAATTAGTCATTCCTGAGATTATCGCGTTCAAACAAACAAACAAACTCTGCCTCTTTATAATATTAATATATAGTATAGATTGTAATAAAAAAATAACTACAGAGGCACCAGAGCGAAGCGAGGGTATAATATTAAATGTGGCTGCTCTTAAGTTTAAAGATCATTATTCATTATTATAATAAGATAATACATGACGAAGACAATTCATAGTGGATCAATTCAATCATTCATTTAGTTCATTCAGTGAATGATATTGCACATAGAATGATATAGTTGTAGAATAGTAGTGCATTAACCTTGACACTTGTGGCATGTTGAAGGCAGCTCTCGTTAAAACAAGTAAATAAAAACAAAACTTCTTCCTTGTATAAATGCCAACTTATAATCGTAAGTCCTAAACGCGATTACGGCATATCTTAGTTTAGACTTGCTTTGAATTCTTACAATATTTTTAATTCATGTGTGTTCATAATTTTTTTCAACGAAACAACGAATTCACCAAATTATTTTGTACAGAGATTGCTTAATAACGGAAGAGCAAAGCTTTTTAAATACTTCAAAATAGAGGAGATTCTATCTCAATAGGTCAGTCAGCCTATAATGTAGAAACTTGCAGCATCTATATCGATGAGTCACGCAGAATAAATCTTTAACATTGAAAACGTGGAAAACGCATGAAATGAGAAAAAAATAACAAAACCGTACAATCCTAATAATGCTTTGAAATTTATTATGTACATACGTACAAAGTGAATAATATTAATTATTCACTTTTGACGTCACGTTTGGCTCAGTTTGTAGTGACCCTACTTGCTGTGCCAGCGGTCGCAGGTTCGAATCCCGCTGGGGGAATTCATTTGTGTGATGAGCACGAATGTTTGTACTGCAGTCATGGATGTTTATATTCATAATATTATGTATGTATTTAAAGTTATATAATATGTGTAGTGTATCAACTATCTGGTATCCATAACACAAGCCTCGTAGCTTACAATGGAACTAGATGGCGCTGTGTTAATATCCCAAAAAAAAATTTAGAGTTACTAACTCTTATTTCTAAATACGAACAAAAGCAACTTATCTTATTTAAATATGTACCTACATTGTAAGGTCTAATGTCAAGAATAAACTACTATAAATGACAAAAATAACACAAACATTTTCCATGCAATTGTCATTGTCAATGCTCACTGCCAGTATTTTTTTACTGTTTAGCAATAAATTATTTTTACTAGCCACTTATAAAATTGTTCAGGGGAATCGTTGGAATTTTACACACTTAGATCATTAGTGTTTTTTTTAATTATAATAATATTATAGAGGTAAAGTTTGTGAGTTTGTTTGTAAGAAGTAATCTCTGGAACTACTAAACAGAATTAGATGAAAATTGGTAAGAAAATAGTTTGGTAAGAAAAAAGATCTTGGGAAGGACATAGGATACCCCGGAAATCATCGTTGAAGGGGGTAATAATGGGGATGAACGATGACGAGCGAAGCGAAGATGAGTTGCTAGTTAATTATATTATTTAGAAGTTTATTTTACAGTAGTTAATTACACTTCGGATGCTCTTTAGTAAGTTTTCAAATACAGGTATGACAATCAAAATCACTTTAAAAGTAAAACCTATTCTTATATTTACGCGAATATTTGATATTTTACATGACTCACGTTTTCATTTTATATTTTTGTTGGCGTTTCGAATGCTTTACAGAAAACATGGTCACGGGAGAGACTATGGTTTTAGACGTATTAAAAGTTATTGCATAATTATTGTTAACAGACGGTATCTAACCATAAAATTATAAAATTTGGAAGAAATAGACAAACGGCACTTAAGTTCCTTGAAAATTAATTAGCACTTAGCGAATATACTCGTATCTATCGCATGGCATACACAAAAACATACACTCAATATATAACCTGTTTGAAGTCGGTTAAAAAGTAATTATCTAGACTCAGACCTATTTACAGATCCATTAAATCTCGTGTAAAGAATAAACTAACAAACACATTTTCGCATTCACATTATTAATATTAATTTATAATGACGTTAACTGACCATCTTAAATATTTGTATGCAAATAATACGATAGAGAAATACGGATTTATTTCTGCAAATTTTACGAAAGGTTTAAAAATTTAAATACAAAAAATAATAAATTCTAAATAATACTGACAAGTGGTTGGCTATGAACTATGCCTTTATAAACGTGGACTAAAACTGCTTTGTTGGAAATTGGAATTGCTCACTTAACCAGACGTCATAAATTCGATTTCTGTACACAGCAATGAAACAAATACTTGCTACAATTTTGTTTAAAAAAGTTCCCTCTTATTAAAAGGAAAGCGAAATAATACTAACTTAGATTCACATGAATATTTGACATTTTAAATAAAACTATCTTTTCGGATTTTTTCGCGGATTTATTTTGAGTTTTGTTGTCTGTAACAAGTATATCTATACTTCTCTATACTTATCTATACTTATATACCTTTGAGATGTCTAAAACCTTAGTCTCTCACGTGACCATGATTGCTGTACATCATTTGAAACGTCGGGAATTAAAAATCAAAATAAATCCACGAAAAAATGCGAAAAGATAGTTTTATATAAAATGTCAAATATTCACATAAATATAAGAAAGTATTATTTCCCTTTCCTCTTTTAGTAAAAGGAAACTTTTATATTATTTTTACTTTTATATAACAATTTTTTATTATTATAAAGAGCTAGTTTGTGAGTTTGTGACGTTGTAGAGGGTAATCTCTGGATCTACTAAATCGATTTAGGTGAAATTTGGTGAGAAGATAGTTTGAGGCCCTGGGAAGACTTTTTATCCCGGAAATCATCTTTTAAGGGGGTGAAAGTGGGGATGAAAGTTTGTATGGGGAACCAACCTAGGGACGAACCCGAGCGAAGCGAGGGTAATCTCTTGTCTAACAATAAACGTATAATTTATATT